AGAGGCACAAGGTGACCTGAGAGGCATTTCTGGTGTCCAGGAGCCACTCTGAGCCAGTCATTTCTGCTTTAACATGTCCTTGGTATGAGATTTGGACAAGTGTTTTGCAGACTGAGTTATTTAGAACAGATACACCTCATTAAAAAAAAAAATCAGAATGCATGTGTTTTAATATTATTCTCTCTGATACAATCCAGCCAAAGACAAATTTCAAAATAATATGACACATGCGTATGAGTATAAAATGATCTTTGGCCTTGCAAATAAAAGCAATTTTATTTCAACCTGAAAGCTGATATTTTTAGCCTTAGAAATGAGCATGGAGTTCTCCCTCTCATGCGGTATGGGCATTCAAGCTGGGCTCCGCTGTCTGCAGACGCTGGTGACTGCGGGGACTGTGCAGGCTGCTCCCTTGTCTCCTGTCTCCTTCTGTAGGGGTGTGGGTGAGTTCCTGGGGCCAGGCCTGTGTCATGTGCAGACAGGAGGCACTGGTGCTCGCTGGACTGTGCACCTCCGTGGGGCTGTGCCTCTGCTCCTGAGTCACCAGTACACACAGGCCCCCTTGGGCAGGACCAGGCCACTGCCTCCAAGTGTCTTTGGGCCCCGGGCAGGGAATGGGTTTTGAGTGCTCCCAGGGCACGGAGCAGACCTCCTCTTTGCTGCTGCTGATGTCGAGCTGGGAATCACCGCCCCTGCCCAGGCCGTGGGCTGGACACAGCACGTCCGCCTGCTGAAGCCCCGGCCTCTGGTCGAGTGTGGCACAAGGAGCTCTTAGGAAGCAATCAGGTGAAGTGAGGTTACAAGGCCGAGCTTCTAGCCAGACTGTCAACCTGAAGAGGAGGAGACAGGTCCGTCTCTCTGCCCTCCTCCCTCCTGTGCCTGAACTGGGGAAGGACCACATGAGGCCGTGCAGGGAAGGCTGTGTCTGCGAGCCTCCCACACCAGGTTGGTGGGGAGCAAACTTGGAACTACCCTCGACCTGGGTCCCGCTCAAGTTGGTGAGGGCAGATCTGGTCTGGGCCTGACCTCCCGCAGGAGTCTGCTGGTCAGAAGAGGTGGTCCTGTGCTGGAGGCTGGGCTCTGGCAGGTGACTGCTGGTGGTGGGATGGACCTGGGCCTCCTGTGAGCCTGGGTCCACTCAGGCCAGTGTGGGGTGGCTACTCGTTCATTCTTACTAGTTATACACATATTAACATTCTGTCCATTGCACTTGGTCTTTATGTTTCTGAGAAACTGTCCCAAATAGGCTGTTGTAAAACTGTTCACAGGGACTTTTATCAGCATTCATTTCTGTAATGTCAGTGGTCACCCACTTTTACGTCTGTAAATAATCATAAATAATTTGAATCTCCTTTATTTTTCTTAGCCAACTTAGCTGAAGATTTTCCAATTCTGTCGATACATTCAAAGAACTAAATTTTGGTCTCACTGATATTTTCCCTATTGTTTTTGTGTTTTCATTTTCTTCATTTACTTTAATGTTTGAAAAGTTTTCTTTCTTCTGATCGCCCTGGGTTTAGTTTGTTCTTATTTGTTAGTCGTATAAGCATTCACAGCTGCAGATTTCCTCTTTTTCTGGAGTCTGTATTATCTCATGCATTATCATTTTTAATCATATTTCACTGTTTTCTAATTTATCTTGTCATTTCTTCTTTGATCCATTGGTTACATAAGAATAATTTTCACAATTCTGTGAGCTTTCAAGTTTCACTTTTATTGTTGACTTCCTTATTTCATCCAATGAGGTCAGAAAAGTTACTTTTTAATATTTCTATCTTTTTTTTCAAAATATGGAAACCTTGCTCCTGGCTGAACCTGTGCTCTCTCCTAGAGAATTTCCCGGGGCCGTGGGGCAGAGTGCGCTGCTGCTGGTGGGGGGCTCTGCAGAGGCCTGTCCAGTCCAGCTGGCTACTCCGTCCAGGAAGTCCTCTTCACACTTCCAGTCGCTCTCTGGTTATCCTGTTCATTTTTGAGAGGACAGTCTCGAAATCTCCAGCTATGATTTTAATACTATGTCTTCTTTTAGTTCTGTCAGTCTCTCCTTCATGTGTTTGATAGTCTATTAGGGTGTAAATGCTCGTAGTCATTATAGCTTCTTGCTTCCTTGAATCATTTTAGATACACAGTGTACTTTCTGTGTCTAGTAAGCTTTGGATTTAAAGTCTACTTCTTCTATATTGATATACCTGCCCTCTTTTGATTATTATTTGCACTGAATATTTTCATTCTTTCAGCTTCAACTCATGTGTATCTTTGGATCTAAAATGAGTTTTTGTATACAGAATGTAGTGGGATCATGTGTGTTTCTAATTCATTTGGCCAGTCTGACTTTTCTTTGGAGAGTTTAATACACTTATATTTAAACTAATTATAGATAAGGAAGGACTTATTTCTGTGGCTTTTCTATTTGTTTCCTGAATGTCTTATAGTTATTTTCTTTTATTTTCTGCATTAATGTCTTATTTTTAGTTTATTTTTTAGTAAAATGTTTCAATTTATTTCTCATTTCCTTTTGTGTATATTCTACAGCTATTTTGGGGGTTCCCATGGGGATTACATTTAACCTTTTAAGGTCATAACACTCTAATTTGAGTTTATACCAGATTGACTTCGGTGATGTGCGACACTCTCCTTCTTTATATCTTGTCTCCACCCCTTTTCAGTTGTTGAAGTCACAAAATCACATCTTTATATATTTTGTTCTCCAAAACACAAATTATTAATTCTTTTAAATGCATTGGTCCTTTATATAACAGAAAAATATGGAGTTGTAAACCAGAATCACAATGATGCCAGCTTTTACACTGATGATTATTTAAACATATATTTCTATTTCAAATCGTGCAGATCACACAGAGGAAGTCCTGCCACAGTGTCATGGCTCTATGACTGCCCCTGCCTTTGTCCATGTTCCGTGTCCCCCTGGCTCTGAGCTGCTGCCTGGTGTCCTTCCACGTCCCACAGGACCTCCGAGCACTTCTTGGGGACTGGTCTAGTGCTGATGAACTCCTTCAGCTCCGGTTTATCTGGGAAGGTCTTGCCTTCCCTCTTACTTTATTTTCTAGTGGTTCTTTCTGGTTACCTGTGAGTCACCTGTGACGTCAGAATCCATTTTCATGTCATCATACTAGCAGGGAGCACACCGCGGCCTGTTCTGTGGGTGAGCATGGTGCTGACACGGGACACTCTCCTCTGCTCGCCGTCTCCCCCACTGTCTGCTGCACCTTCTCCCTCCCTCCACCCCTGACTGTTGAAGTGCGCCTCTGCTGGTACAGGGTTCCTGGTGGACGTTTTCCTCTTGGCCCCTCGAGCACACCAAGCCCTGCTCTCTGAGGGGAGCTCTGATGTCCCCCCGAGGACCTTGAGTGTCGAGTCACTGTTCCTTTGTTGTTCCAGGAGTCTGTCAGGGCTTTGGGGAGTCTGGTCCCCGTGTGTCTCGGTGTGGGTGGCTTGTGTTCTCCTTAGGTGGAGTCTTGGAGCTTCCGCGATGCTCACATTCTGGCTTCATCAAATCTGGGGCGTTTTCAGCCGTCATCCAAATGTTCTGTCTGCTCCTTCTCTCCCCTCCTGAGGCCCGGCAGTGTGTCTGTGCCTGCTTGAGGCTGCCCCCGGGCTCTGCGTCTCTGCTCAGGTGCATTGTGTCCCCCAGCCTTGGCGTCTCTCTGCCTTGTCTTGGTTTGCCGCTGCCTTCTGCTGCTCGGCTCTGTCTCAGCTCCCTAAAGTCCATCTCACTTGGTTGCACGCGTCCCCAGCTGCAGGGCGCTTGCTTGGTGAGGGCCACAACCAAGTCACGATGGCGCCAGGAGGAGTGGTTTGTGAAGCAACGCCAGCGAGCCATTAAGATTGAGGATTCCTTGATAACTGACTGCTGTATCTAGATGATGTTCATCAAGTCAAGCTGTGTGTAATTAGTTAGGTATATACACCTCTGCTGTCCCGTAATAAAGCGGCTCCTGCTGTTTCAATCTTCACAAGTTGCTTGTCACCCCCCGGTTATTTTGCCCAGCCAGACTGCGGCGGCTTGGATTCAGGTTTGTGCTCTCTCTTTGCTGCTGTTTGAATTTCTTTAATACATAATTTACAAACATTACCCCAGCTTCCTTTGATTCTGTAAGCCTCTCTAAGATGGCTGTGTTCAAGTTGTAATGTTGTAGATCCACCCTCAGGGTCTTCAGAGCAGTTTCTGTCAATTTACTTTTTCCTTTTCCTTGTATGGCCTGTGTTTTCCTGCTGCTTTGTATGCACTCTGGTTTTGCTGGGCTTCTGAAGGTATAATATGTTAACTCTGGAAGTTAAGTTCTCCCGCTGCCCAGCAGGCGCAGGGTCTCCCCAGTTCCTTTGAGCCCTTCTTCAGCGTCATAGGCCCCTTCCGATTTCTCTGATTACGCAGTTGCTTTTGAATCTTATTCTTCAGCATGTGGCTTCCAAATTGGATGACGACAAAAATGAGCTGGAGCAAAGGCACTCACTCTGACTCCCTGTTCCCAGGCTCTCCATGATGAGGGGGGCCTGACAGCGGTCACCACTCTGCCATCCCAGGGGAAGGACAGGGTGCTTTCCCCTGCCAGCTCTGTGCTGTTGCTCCTGGGATGTGTAGCGTGGGGCTGGGTGAGGCAGGTAGCTGCTCCGTGCTGAGGCCAGACGCTGACAAGAGCTAACTGCCATTTGCACCCCCAGCCTTCCCTGGGAGTTGTAAGCCCCAGTAGACTGGAGAGGACGCTTCCTCCAGAGTGGAACAGGTGGGACCCCGAGTCCTGGTGCCTCCTGTGGCCATCTCCCCTCTCCTGTCACTGGTGGCCACTCAGCTATGACAATGTGTAGGTTAAGATCTCTTGTTACACACAGACGATGAGCTCCGACAGGGCTCTCGGCCACACTGAGGCAGCAGCGCAACCTAGCCTGGACTGGTCAGGCTGAGGGCGGCACCTGTGCACCTGTGGGCTCTCTCTTCTGACAGGCGTATCCATTAATGAAGGATGGGGCTTTGTTTTCCTTTACAGCTTGCCACCGCCACCGTGGACGGGAAACTGCAGCTCTTTGTGGCTCAGTGACTGTGCCGGGTGGTTCCTGGATGTGAGAGGAGAGCAAGACGTCCCTGCAATCCCTCTGGGCCAGCACAGGGAGGTTTCCGTGGTTAGGTTCTGCCTTCCACAGACCCCTCTTCCCTGGGGGCTGCTCTCAGCTTGGTGAGTCTCCCTGCTCCTCAGCCCCTCACCAGGAAATGGGACTCACCCTGTGCTGCTGCACAGAGCTGGGGAGGTGAAGCACTCAATAAAGGATGGCCCAGCACTTGCTTCACGACTGGACTGTGGGGAGGGGAGAGCTGTCTATGTCTCTGTCTTTCTTTGTCCGGATCTGGATGTCTATGTGCATATCTATGTCTGTGTCTGTCTGTATCTGTATGTCTATGTGCATATCTGTGTCTGTGTCTGTCTGTATCTGTATGTCTATGTGCATATCTGTGTCTGTTTCTGTAGTCTATGTCTGTATCTGTATGTCTATGTGCATATCTGTGTCTGTGTCTTTCTCTCTGATTTTATCTACGTCTGTCTGTGTCTATATCCGTGTCTGACTATATCTGTGTCTGTCTATAAGTCTACGTCTATATCTGTCTTATCTGTCTCTTCCTATGTCTTTGTCTATATCTACGTCTCTATCTGTGTCTGTGTCTATGTATCTGTTTGTCTATGTCTATGTCTCTGTCTATATCTATGCCTATGTCTATGTCTATATATCTATGTCTATATATCTGTCTATGTCTATATCTATGCCTATGTCTGTCTGTCTATGCATCTGTCTGTATCTATGTCTATGTCTCTATGTATCTGTTTGTGTCTATATATCTATGTCTATGTCTTTATATCTATGTCTATGTATCTGTCTGTATCTATGTCTATGTATCTGACTGTATCTATGTCTGTGTCTCTGTATCTATGTCTATATAGCTATGTCTATGTATCTGTTTATATCTATGTCTATGTATCTGACTGTATCTATGTCTATGTCTCTATGTCTATGTCTCTATATCTATGTCTATATAGCTATGTCTATGTATCTGTCTATATCTATGTCTATGTATCTGACTGTATCTATGTCTATGTCTCTATGTCTATGTCTCTATATCTATGTCTATATAGCTATGTCTATGTATCTGTTTACATCTAAGTCTATATATCTGTTTATATCTATGTCTATGTATCTGACTGTCTATGTCTATATATCTATGTCTGTGTCTATATATCTATGTCTATGTCTATATATCTATGTCTATGTATCTGTCTATGTCTATGTCTATATATCTATATCTATGTCTGTCTATATATCTATGTCTATCTATCTATATCTATGTCTATGTCTATATCTCTGTATATATGTCTATGTCTATGTATCTGTTTATGTCTATATCTATGTCTATGTCTATATATCTATGTCTATGTATCTGTCTGTATCTATGTCTATGTCTATGTCTCTATGTATCTGTTTATGTCTATATATCTATGTCTATGTCTTTATATCTATGTCCATGTATCTGTCTGTATCTATGTCTATGTCTATATGTCTGTCTATATCTATGTCTATGTATCTGACTGTATCTATGTCTATGTCTCTATGTCTGTGTCTCTATATCTATGTCTATATAGCTATGTCTATGTATCTGTTTATATCTAAGTCTATATATCTGTCTATATCTATGTCTATGTATCTGACTATCTATGTCTATGTCTCTATGTCTATGTCTATATATCTATGTCTATGTCTATATGTCTATGTATCTGTCTATGTCTATATCTATATATCTAAGTCTATGTCTATATATCTATGTCTATCTATATGTCTATACCTATGTCTACGTCTATATCTCTGTAGATATGTCTATGTCTATGTATCTGTTTATGTCTGTCTGTGTCTATGTCTATGTATCTATCTATATCTCTGTCTATGTCTATATCTATGTCTCTTTATATATGTCTATATGTATGTATCTGTCCGTGTATCTGTCTATGTCTATGTGTCTGTCTATATCTCTCTGTCTCTGTCTAGCTGTGTGTATGTGTCTGTTTATGGCCATGTCTATAAGTCTGTGCATGTCCATACTTGTGTCCTTGTTCATATCTACCTCTACCTGGGTCATGGATTATGGAATGGGTGCATGAGCATTCTCTTCTGAGAGTTGATAAGCTGCAGTGGCCAGTCCTCACCAGTTCTGGCCTGCTGATTAGTGTGCCCTGGCTGTCTTGGGTTGCCGTGGCTCACCCAGACCTACCGTGGCCTTTCATCCTGGGTCGATGACTGTCGAGTTCCGCATATCTGTCCTGGGACCCACTCTGTGCACCAGAGTCCAGACTGCAGAACCACATCCTTCAGGGTCCTAGGAGACTTGGGAGCTTGCAGGCCACTCTGGGTTCCAGAGGACCCAGCAGCGTGACTCCTGCCACAGGAGGGCTCTGAGGGCAAGTGCCCTGATTGGCAAGACCTGGCCATGCTGGCAACCAGGGAGGGGTCATCCCGCTGCAGCCCTGCTGGCCTCTGCATGTCCTGGTGACATGGCAGTCTGTCACTCCGCCTGCCGAGGTCAGGCACGTCTGGGCTCCTGGCTGGAGCTGCACGGGGCGCACACACTGTGTGCTCCTCCTAGCAGTGCTGCAGAACATCCAGTGCTTGCTTGCCCCCCGACCAGTCGCACATTCGTGTGTCCTAAACCTGAGGTGCCTTTGTGGCAAATGAGGCAGCTCAGGGCACGCAGGCGTAGACCGTGTTTAATGTTTTTAATTTTAGTACATCCCTTAAATTCACATGCACTGTATTTTAAGTTGCCGTGAGACACGTGCGACCTGGCATTTGCATTTTTAACCCAGCCGTCTGCGGTCTCAGGCACAGTCAGGCCCCTGCACAACCCTCAGCACCCCACCTGGAGGGGTGCTTGGCTCTCCAGGTGGCAAGCCGAGGCCCACTCAGGTGGCCTCCTTTCCCTGGGCCTCAGGGACCTCAAGCAAATGAGTCAGCCATGCTGTACTTCTTCCACGGGCTCGGGGCGGGGCCCAGGGCATCCAGGGGCGGCAGCTGCAGGCTCTCCTTCCCTTTCCTGCGGAGCAGCACCCCACTATGTGAAATTGCACGTCCCACTCACGCTCCAGCCACTGAGGCCACTGGTGCGCCCTCCTGGCTGCAGTGAACTGGGTGTGGATGCTCTTCCAGGCTCTGGACCAGTGGGTTGCTGGAGAGGGGCAGTTCTATCCCAGCCCTCGAGAGGCCTTCACGCTGTGACCTGAAGGGCTCTGCCAGTTGCTTTCCCACCAACGGTGCGCGTCTTTGTGGTTTTGGATGTGCCCCTTCCATGAGTGGCTTCAGGATAAATGTTCATCCACAGGTTGCTTTGGTCTTTGTGCACGAGTCCTCCAGGTGAGCCAGGAGTCCAGGCACAGCAAGTTTTATTTATTTAATTAATAGCTGAATAATATGTCAAAGAAGATAATATGTAAAAAATTATTCCCTTAGCTTTATGAAGGGAAAAGAGGGTAGCGCTGAGGCAAGCCTGTGGAGCCCAGCACGGATCTGCCCTCTGCACCCACGGCGGGGCGGAGTGGGGGCAGCTGCTGGGCCTGCCTCTGCCTCCCTGGTGCTGACTCCACCAGCCCCATGCGGCAGCCAGACATCTTGGGACCCGTGTGGTCCTGCGGATGCCTTGGTTGAGGAGAGTAAGAAGATGGCATGTCATGAGGACTTGGCTTCACCTCTACCCACTTCCCAGTGACCCTGTACTCTGCTGGGCTTCACTGTTGTCACCCTGGTCCTGATGGGTGGCGAACTCTGTGCTACAGGGACACAGGGACAGGAGTCCAGCATCATTTCTGGCGCAATATCTGCAAGCCAGACCAGGGCAAAGGGAACTGGTCTTCCCAGGGCCTAAGGGAAGGGGCCCTGTGACCCTGCTCCACCAGGACAGAGGCTGCTGGGGCCATGGGGAAAGCTCAGCTATGGCTGGGTGTCTACCCAGGTTCAACCTCCCTGCTGCCCAGGGGCCTGGGAAGGTGCAGATCTTGACACTGAGGAGCTGCCTCATTCCACATCCTCCAGCGTCTGCTTCGTGTCCTCCACCTGCAGAAGGAGGGCTAGCAGATGCGGGACAGTGGGGAGGCCATGGTCAGGCGCTGTCCACCTCGATGTCCTTGCTGGCCCTCCAGGGTGAGAGCTGGCTGTGGAGGAGAGGACGAGACATGGCTCCGTCTGGCTCCGTCTCTAAGTGATGCACTGAGATGCCTTTTGGTATTTGAATGACAAAATGACTCAGGTTCTGTGTTCATGTCATGGGGTTTGTCTGTGTATCCCAGACATCAAAGCAAGAAGGTGACTGTGGCCCCAGGCCTGGTGAGCCCTCACAGAGGGTGGTCTGGACCTCTGGAGTAGCATTTGCTGTTCATTTTTGACGTTCCGTTTAGAGGCTCTTGGCAGATCCAGAGGCTCATTCTCTGCTTAGAGAACCCCAGGCCTGAGGAGAAGGGTGCCTTACATGTTGTGGGGAGGGGTCCGTCCCCACCGAGCCTTGACTGGCAGCTGGGGACAGCCAGGCCAAGTGTTGGCAGGTGCTGCTCTGGGTCCTGGGCACAGCCAGCGTGCGTGAGGCTCCCTGGAAGCCCCCTCAGATATGCGCAGCTAAACCTGTGGATATCAGGTTGGACCATCTAAGATGGCCAGTGTCCACCTGTGTTTGACCCCCAGCAGTGGCAGTGTCACAGGGCTCATCTGAATATATTCTTCAAGACGGGAAGAGACCATAAACTGCCACCCCAGGCCTCCTCTCTCTCCCTTTCTGTTCTTCCTTTCTTCTTCCTGACAAGAAGTTGGTCTCAGACCCTGTTGGGAACAGCTCACCTCAGTGTGTGTTGTGGGTAGGCTTCAGCTTGCTTCTAGCCGGACCCGGCCGCCTCCCTGGTCATCTGCTTCCCTGGTCAAACTAGTTCTGTGCACTAGTTTGAGATTTCAACTCAGCGTTTAAGAAACGAACGATAACATTCATGCCTTTTTTTTGGCATAAGATGAAGGCCAAGATGCCAGGCAGAACTGGGTGGGTGTGGCAGGAGCATGGAGGAGGGGACCCATCCTGGCCAGGAGCAAGGACAGGCTCTGAGTGTGAAGTTACTGATGAGGAACTCAACTTGTGTGGAAGACGGCCACTCTCTGGAATGTG